TTGACCCGAACATGTTTAATCTCCTTCGGCGGCAGTACGCGACCTTCCATTGTGAAATACTCTGCATATCCGTGCGACTTTGTGATATTAGTAAAAGCTATTAATTGCTGCACTTCAATAATATCTCTAGAGTCATATTCAAGTGAGCATCTAAAACAAAGGTCATTAAATACGAAATGGATCGCTGTATAGAAGTAAAATATTTCTTTTTTGCATAGAAATTGATAGAAAATTTTTAAACCTAAATTCGTTACCGATCAATCTTTTCTACTCATGTGTCACAATTCATTCTATTAGAAATTCTCAAGATAAAAAACTGGCTGATTTAAGGTCTAGTCTCATTTAATAGTATTAATGATATACTTAGAATAACTCACATTGTGTGATCTTCAAAGTAAAATTTTATCTTGTCTATGGTAAGAATGTTGTTTTCTTTGTATAATAATTTTTTTTATTCAGCACCCAGTAAGGAATAATGGATCAAATATCGACAAGAGATAAATCTCTAAAATCATATTTGATCCATAAAATGTCTTTTCATCCATTGCAAATCGTCTGTTGATTAACTATTAATGACTAGTCTATTTTTGTCTAGAGAAATATATAATGATCCACTATCATATTTTTCCATGAAGATGTTTTTATTGAGTCTGTATTAGTTAGTGTCACATCTGGTGGTTGACAGTCATGTACATGAACAAATGTGTATGTTTGTGTAAACGATATGAATCGCTGTGAGACAAGAAAAAGAACAAAAAAAAAAACGAATAAGAGATTTCTCTCGCATATTTTTAATGATATCAGAAAAGCAAGATGTGATATTTAGGAGAAAAGGGGAATATATGGAAAAAAAATGTGATCAGCATTCTTTATCTCGATTACTTCGACATCGACAGATAACATTATTTGCTAGTCTCATAGACAACATACAACAACAATAACAATAACAACTTCAAATACAGACGAGCAAAAATGAATGTCGAGGTAATGTGAATAAAAAAATTTTTTATATAAAATTTAACAAAATAATTTATACATTAAATTGTTACTTGTATCTCTGTTACATGGTTTATATCAATATGAATGCAAGAAAATATCTTCTTAACAAAGCGAAAACACAAAATAATACTTCATTCTTATTCTATGCTATTGTAAAATAGTACAACAAAGTTTGATGAACCATTAAAAAGAATTTTTGTATTTTATATAGACGTCTGAGTATGATAATCAAAAATAAAACAAAGAATCTTTGTGTGTTTGCAATTACTAAAGATACTTTTTTTTTCATAATCTAATTCAGTTGACAAATTAATATTCTGAATGATTTTGTCTAATAAATGATGACTGACCAATTTTTTTATCAATTGATAAAATGAAAACAAATTTCGACGGACTTTTCAATATTAAATCTAATCTATTTTTCAAATTTTTAGGGCCGTGCATTAACTGAAGACGAGAAAAAAGCACGAAAGAAAGCCGAACGTGAACGTAAACGTCAAGAGGCTCGTGATGCAGCTGAAAAGAAGAAACGTTTTGCGTTGACACCTGAAAAGAAGCGTAAACTTCGGGTTAGTTTTGGTACTTTTTTTTTTAAGAATAGAATTAAATTGTTTGATTTTAATCAATAAAATATGTAGCTTCTTATAATGAAAATGGCAAGTGAAAATTTACAAAATGCTGCCGAACAACGTTCAGCTGCTCGTAAAAAATATATCGAAGAACATGTTAAAGCTATTCCGAATGATTTAACGTCTCTTAATGAAGCTCATCTTGTTTCATTAGTTAAAGAATTTTATAAACAATTGACTGAATCCGAAGAATCACGATATGATTTTGAAATGAAAATTCGAAAACAAGATTATGATGTAAATCTATTTCTTTCATTTGTAAATTTGAAAAAAACATTGAATTTTTTTTTGTTAGATTAATGAATTAACAATTAAAGTAAATGATATTAAAGGAAAATTTATAAAACCAACATTGAAAAAAGTATCAAAAACTACACAAAAGTAAAATATTTGTTTTTGTTTATTGAATAAGAAATTTGTTTCTTTTCTTTTTTCAAATTAATTTAGACTACAAAAATTAAACAAACCAAAAGAAGAAGAAATTGATTTTCGTGCTCATCTTAAACAATCAACTAATAAATTTGCATTAAAAGAGGAACATAAAGATGATGATAAAGTTAATTTTCGAGAACAAATACAACTTAAATCAACTAAAGGCGAACATCATCATGAAGAAGAATAAAAATTAATATGAACATTTTTAGAAACAGGTCCCTGAATTATTTTTTTTTAGTTTTATCCACAGTAGAACAAATAAACGATCAAAGTCTTATTTTCATTATTTGATTTCATTTAAAAACTATTCTTTTATAATAATAATAATTTGAACATTTAATTTTATAAGATTATTATCTTTTCTTTTTTTTTATAATCACATATTTTGTATTCTTATACTTTTGATATGATGATCATCATTGGAAAGTGAACATCCATTTAGTCTACTTATAAACAGATGTCTATATTCTATAATTATATATCTATTTTTTGCTTTTATTCAATATAAGCATGTGATATAATCAATTTTCTAGTAGTATTTATAATATTTCTTCTATTAGTTGATTTCTTTTTGAAGCTCGAGTGCGTTGGCGATAAGGGACAATTGTTGTTTACTATGAATATTTCTATTAAAGGGCATAGGAAGAACAGAAAAATTTATATATAGATTATTTATCGCGCCATTCGTCAAGGTTATTATTACTATCTTATGAGGAAATCTTTTCAAGATGCTGCTGTGAAGTTTTTCTTAAAAAAACATATGAAATTAATTGATAGAAAAATGGGATATTTGAGAAATAATATTAAGAGAAAATGATTCCTGAAACATTTTATTTTTGATGATCATCATTTTGTTATTTGTATATATATCTTGTATTGGTATCTGAAAGAAAAATTTCCATTGTAATTTATTATCTCATAAGAATAAGGAAAGATAAAATATGAGTCTATTTCTCGTTCTTTTTTTCTTATCCAATTCTATATCCATATGTATCCGTATATGTGCATGGTTCGTACAAATGCACGAGATGGAATAGAACAATAACAAACTTTCCTATTTGTTGTTGATATAGTTGATGCACGTCGACACAAAAAATGTAGCAAGAGACTTGCTGATTTTCTTTCTCTCGTTCCAGTAATTCTTCGTATATTTCATACATACAGATATTTTAGGAACAAGACATCATCATTATCGTCATCATCGTCGTCGGTTTTTTCTCTCTCTCGATCTATTTTTCTTTATGTTTCTGACTTTTTGTGGCCTATACGTAGGTTGATATTGCCAAAGAAAGCAAAGAATAAGTGTTTAGTACTAGCATCATCATCCTAGTGTTTGTTTCTTTCTCTTTTTCTCTCTCTTTTTTTTTGCTGCTTTACAAGATCAACAAAAGACACCAAGCAATTCTTTGTTAAAGAGAAAAAAAAATGGCTGACGAGGTAATGAACAACACAAATTAAATTTCACAATAAAAAAAGCAAAAACAATTTTTTTTTCTGATTGTAATGCATGGCTATTTCATATATATTTATTTAACTAAAAATAAAAATTTGCATGTTGTCTTTTTGCACGAATACAAAAACTATATGATGAACGGCATATTCAAGCTCAAATTGCATGATTTTGCATACATATTAATATATTTCTTATCAAACTGAATTTTTTTCATCATTTTATTTACAATTCTATATATATTAAAAATTTTTAATTCTTTTATAATCATGACGAAATGACAAATTAATGATTTGCTTGTTGAACACTAATAACACACAAAATATTTAAATAATATTGAGAAAATTTGCATATGAAATTTGAAATGTGAATCTTGTACATAGCATGGCATGTGTTTTATCTGGCAAAATCTCATTTATATTTGTTTTGAAAAATCACTAAATTATTTGTCTATAGAATCGATCACTTACAGAAGACGAAAAGAAGGCCCGCAAGAAGGCCGATCGTGAACGTAAACGTCAAGAGGCTCGTGATGCAGCAGAGAAAAAGAAACGTTTTGGTTTAACACCTGAAAAGAAACGAAAACTTCGTGTTTGTATTAAGTTTTATTTAAATTTTTTTTAAAAATCTTTCAATATTATATTAATTCAGCTTTTGATTATGAAAATGGCCACGGAAAATCTCAAAGGTGAACAATCACGTCGTTTAGAAGCACGTAAACATTATATTGAACAACATTTAAAACCCCTTGATGATCTTCATTCGATGAGTGATGGTGAATAAATAAAAAAAGAATTTGCTTCGAATAAAAAATAATATAAAATAAAACTTTTTTTTCTAGCTCAAATAAAATCACTTTGTCAAGAGCTTCATAATCAACTAAAAACACATGAAGAGAGCCGTTATGATCTCGAATTAAAAATTCGAAAACAAGATTATGATGTAAAAAAAAACAGAAAACAAGCAAATATTATTCAAATCATCGTATTGTTTTTCTATGCTTTAGGTCAATGAATTAACAATTAAAATCAACGATATTAAAGGTAAATTTGTTAAACCATCACTTAAAAAAGTCTCGAAAACTGAACAGAAGTAAGTTTACATCAATAATATTATTCTCTCTTTTTTAAATCTAACTTAAACAAAATCAGGTTGAATAAAATTAAAAAACCAAAAGAAGATGAACCTAATTTTATTAATATGGCTAACTTAAAACAATCGACAAATAAATTTGCACTTAAAGAAGAACAAAAAGAAGACGACAAAATCAATTATCGTGATCAAGTTCAACTTAAATCAGCTAAAGAACATAAAGAAGAAGAAGCATAAATACTTTATCCATAACATAAATCATTTTCAAACTCAATTAACATATGTTTTTTGTTTTTTCAACCCTTTTCTCTTTTTTTTTTTCTATTCATCATACATTTTTAGTCATCATGATTATAACATACAAATAAAGAAAAATATCGATTAAAAAAAACAAATTAACTTTGTACAGAAATTGGAATATAATCAAAATTATTTTGTAATTTTTTCTTTGACGATCGATATTTTTTTGATAGTAATTGTCGATATTGAATATCCTTTTGGTGTAATTCACGACGATGTCTTAATGGAACACAAAATAACCAAATAAGAAGTAGTCCATTAATTATTATATAGATACTAATAGAAGCATATAAAACATATTGATCCAAATTTACCAACCATGTTACTGAAGTTACGCGAAAATCAGGTGTATATCGAAATATTAATCTACCAATAATTGCATGCCAAATAGAAAGAATAACAAGAATAAAAAGGCACATTATTGCATATTTATCCATTGCTGTTAAATATGATATTGTAGGCTAATGTCACGGAGTCAATCGATATGAAAACAATAATGAACAGTCAAACTTACTAGTGATCTGTTTACTGTCCATCGAAAAGTGATGGATGTTAAAAGAAGTGTACAAGAAATTTGAAGACGATTAGCTGATAGACTTGCATATAAAAACAAAAAGGAATTAAATTAATAGGATTGAAATAATAACTTACTTTGGTGGAATGGCAAATATACAAAATGATACTAAAGTGATTAGAAATATCAGACAATATCCATTCCAATAAAAGTAATTTGATCGACGAGCTTTAAATAGAGAATTAATGTTTTTTTTTAATGTCATTTCTATTCTGATTAAATACAAACCAGCATGACAAGTTACAGTTAAAATCGAACGCTTTCGTTCTTTGTGAGTACCAGTACTTGCATCATCATCGTCATTGTTATCATCTTCTTCGTCACCACATCGAAATAAAAATTCTTTTATATATCTTTGTTTCGTATCAACATGTTCGTATAATAACCATTCTTGTTGATCAACAAATGCTTCTCGATTAATTCCACTTAAATGATAAGGATCAGCAATTAATATTACTTTATCATCATAAAATATTGATCCAACTGATATTGATAATTCTTGAACATCTGATGGAAAATGGTGTAATTCAAGTTTTTCCCAAAATATACCTTTAATATCACGATGTTCACAAATATATATTTGATTATTTTCTTGAGATATTTTTGCACTATATCTTAGTTGTTCTTTTAAATCACTTAGAATATTTTCAATATATAATTGAGGATGCCAATTAGATTCAGCATATTTAATAAGAGATATAGATTTTCCTTGTATTAAACGTGTTTGTTCATCAGAAGATAGATTTGGTAAAAGTTTGTCAAATTCAATAGGCCAACGTGATTCAATCGATGCTTGTGCTTGATATTTTTCATTTAATGTATCAATTTCACCTATTCGAAGAAACATCAGACGAATGTAAACTTTAATTGCTTTGCTTGAAAATATTGATGATGAATCTAAACATTCTTCTGTTGTTTTCTGAAAAACTAAAAACTAATCATTTAATGGATAAGTTTTTACTTTTATAATATTTCTTCAAACCTGTTAGAGCACTGCTGCATAGTGATATTTTACGCATATGTGAAGAATTGTTCAACTGTTCTGTTATTTCTTTAGTGTATGCCATACGCTTTTATGTATTTAAAAATATTTATTGTTCTTGAAATATTTTTAATTGTTTGGACTCTTGTTAACAATCTCCTATAGATTATTTTCTTTGGTTGCTTGACTTATTGCAATGATGATTAATGTAAATTGAGAGATCAAATTCTTTTTTGGATTAATTTGTTTATTTTTTTGAGATAATAATACTATGCAGGAGTATAGTTAATGGGATACCGTTATATGAATAAAACCTTTAACATAAAAATGAAATCGTTTAAATGAAATATAAATTTAATCTTTTCTTATACAGATTGATTCACTTTCTATAAAAAAAAAAAAAAAGTTCTGTATATAATTTTGTCTATCTATTTCTTATTAGTTATTGTTATATCCTCGATGGAATCAAGAGTAACTTACTAATTATATTTGTTAAAATAATATTGAATAGGTTCTTTAGTTAAACAAATGAAGAACATTTCTTAATAATCTACAGATTTTAGAGAGTTCTGTTATCATTGGTTTTCTATTGAGACTCTGAATGAGATGGGATGAAACGAAATATTCGTCCCATAGAACAATGCGTTCAGTATAAAAACTTTCTGAAACTTTGCATTGGTTTCCATGAGATTCTTTTGCGATCAAACTAAATTTATGTCTGTCTGTTTTCGTTTGGGTTACTTAATTGAACATTTAAATTTTTGTACGTCTTACATAAAAAAAAATTGTAGATCTTGAATATTAATATTTTGTTGAACTCCAACAAATACGGCAGTAAATTCATTGCAATCCATTGAGATCTATTTGAGTTAATTAAACTGCGATAAGATTCGCTAGCCGCTTTTTCTCTTAGAAGTTTTCAGTGCTATATCTTTAAATATTAGCAAGTGATAGTCTTCTTTGATTCATTTTTCATCCATAAATTCTTAGTTTCTGATGAATTTACTTTGTGTCTCTAGACTTATCGAGATTATTTATAATGATTGAGATTCATCAGAACCCATCAAGATATTCTATCTATTTATTGATTTTTCTCTAAATCGAAACCTACAAAAAAATTATGTTGAAAACCCATTTAAAGTTAAGATGATAAAGATTTTCTTATAATCGTGTCATTTTATCCAAATAATCAATAACTACGACAGAATATTATTAAAAAATTGAAAAGAGCTTGAAGCATACAGCACTCTATAAAGTCAATGTTAGTTTTCATTGTTTAAACTCCTGGAAAAATATTAAAAGTTTTTATATGAAAAATTACAATAAGAAAGGAAGCGAAGAAACAGACCAACAATAAGAATATAATGAATTCTTTGATCCTTCGCTTCTATAAAGTATTTTGAATCCATATTTCATACAATGCAAATCTGCATTTTTTCTTAAGAAGAAAAAGAAGTCAGTCTCATCGGACAAGAACTTTGTCCCATCCGATCCTATGGAATATTTCAAAAAAATTCGTCCTATGAGATGGGATTGTCTCGTCCTATTCGAAGTCCTATTTTCTATGTTTTCCTATTGGAATGTACTTACTTTTCAATTAAAACTTTATTGCGTTTCCTTCTTCCTATTCTTTTGTGTGCATTTGCGAATCAAATATTTAATGACTCATCTAATCTATACGAAAAAAATTACAAGTAGATTTAAATCAGCAGAAAAATATGCAGAAGAAAAAAAGAATTATTTTTAGGCTCACTTTTTCTGTTGTTTTGTCTTGTTCTATATAACGTTAACTTTATTCTTTTCACTATTTATATTACAACATGAAACAACGTATTAGGATAAATATGAATTAAACATAAACACTAGTTGAAGTTAGACAATAAGAAAAAGTTGCCAAATTAATTCACTTGGTCATTGTACTTATTTCATATTCTTTGAATAGACACATTTAGCAAGGACAAAATGAACATACTAATAGTAATCATAAAAAACATATTCATCCAAATGTGTAAATTACATTTCCGATGTCAAAGGAAACCTCGGTGTTAATGAAAAACTAAGAATACTAATAATGATATGTCACAAAAAAATAGAAATTAAAAAAAAAGATAAAAATAAACTTTATAAAATAGGACGATGATTATATTTTCAAGCAAAACATATAGTAAACTGCGAAATTTGTTGATGTAAATACATAAATAAATTGTTAAAAACTAGATATAACTTTTCTGTAATCATACTCGTCATCGATATTACTTGACTGATTCTATTAAAATTTTTTGTGTTGAACATAATCATTGATAAATATTTAGTTTGTGTTCAATTCATATTTTTGTTTCCTAAGTTGTCTTCAATGAACACATGGTAACGAAAAATTTTTACTTTTCTTATACGATATAGCCCTAATGATGCCAATGAATACATAAAGAACAATATTGACTCCGAACATTTGACAAACAAAACATTTGACCTATTGTTTTTAATTCTGTCATTTCTCAAAAAATTTTTGCCATTTTTTCTAAAATCTACACAGTGATAATTAATTATATGGAGATTTGTCTTAAAAAAAGCTAGTTTCTCAAATATATATATATATATATATGTAATATAAGATTGTTCAAACGTATTTCCGTGTCATAATAAAATATAAATGAGTAAAATTTGACTACTTTCACTATGAAGAATATGTTAAACTTTTTTCTTTGAAAAAGTACATTTCTATGCTGTTCATATGTAAATATTTCATTATCAAAAAATTTTATTATTGTTCATTATTATTTAATCATTAATCTTTAAATGCATCAATTGCAGCTTTTTTTCACACTACGCCATACATTTTATTCTTTATTTCATTTTTCTCAGTTCTTTTCATAGTTACTAAAAATGAAAAACAAAACAAATATTTTATAAGTATTATTCATAAAAAATGTTGTCAACGAGCAATAGCAACATAGTATTATTATAACCTATTTCATATCAAATTCGTTTTAGCCAAGATCAGTGACATAATTTTACATATAACAGAATAATAATTTTTTTTCTGAAGAAAGTTCACACATACATAAGTATATGACGTATCGAAGTTACATCGGTTGATGAAGTTACAACTTCGTCAAGCGATATTGATGAAGTTGCAATTTTGTCGCATAATCAATAGTGTCAAACTTGGGACTTGAGTTCAATTATTTAACTACTCTTTAAGTATTAAGTATTCGATAATTCAGGTATTCAAATATTCAACTATTCGAACATTTAACTATTCAGTACAATTAATCAAGCATTCAGTTCAACAAGAGAAATACCCTGTGTGTTTGTTACCGTGGCATCATACCAACAAGACGAATATTTGAATACTTGAATTGTTGAAGAGTAATTCAATAATTGAATTCAAGTTCCAAGTTCGACACTACTGCTTCTCTCGTGACATATTACTTACATCTTAAACAATTATGCTTTAGTGATCAGCAATACAAGAAGCCTAAGATGATAACCACTGTTTCAACAGAGAATAATAATTGACTGGCAATCAAATATCGATATTTCGTCATAAATAAATCTTTGGTTAATTGCACAGTACTCATTTGATATTAAAGTTGAAAAATAAGTCATTGTAATTATACTTAATCAAGTATTCATATATTTCATTCAATTAGTTTGATTGACATGCAATTGTTAACGAAATTATTCAATATTTCGATGATTCCAACATCATATTCAAACAAAACTCGTATCATCCTTATTAAGTTATGTTGCCAACGAAAAATAGAAAAAAAAAATATTTGCCTCTATATTATATGGATGCAACTCTAAACTATCTATTCATTCATAATAACAGATGCTTTAAAATATCGATCTTGACAGACTTTGAAGATAATCCTTACTGATATTGAATATCTAAAACTGATGCTCAATGTCAATATTGATGAAAATGGTGTTAGTCTTGAAAGTTAATATGATCTTGGTGTAGGATGTGAGTGTGGACATGATTCGGTTAAAGGATGTCTACACTCCAGAACACACTATATTTTATTAATGGTAGTTTTTTCTATTCATATGAATATCTAAGAAATACTGAGGACAAATAAACGTTTCAATGTAATATTAAATATTGCAAGCAACGCGCAACTTTAGTTGTTTGATAATATGAAATGAGAAGGAAATAGTAATCGATTGCTGATTTCTCGTGAATTATCATAACTCTTATAAAGACTTTCAAATTATTTGACAACTCCGATTTATGAATACTAGAGCATTTGTATACTTGTCAGCTATATACTCCACAAAAGTCTAGCATGAAAATATTTCTAACGGTTTCTATGTTCTATAAAATCCTATGTCGAATACTTTCCATCAATCTTCAATAAATCATAATAGAAATTTCATTAAATATTCGTTTGAAACGTTTTAATAAAGCATTTGAAAATTCTGTTTAAACATACGAAAATATTTTTCTTTATTCTAATCATTGGTGAGAAAGAGAAAATCTGTAACATTACACTGTGAAAAAAATAATTTTTTGAAATTTTTTTTCTTGATTATGACAATGATATTGACAAAATAAACTAATTATATTTAACACTTTCATAACCATATTTATCATATTGCTCTCGTTTGTATTTATCGGATAAAATTGCATATGCTTGATTTACTTTTTTAAATAATTCTTCAGCATTTTTATCACCTGGATTTCTATCTGGATGAAGCTCTTTTGCTTTCAGTAAATAAGCACGTTTGATTTCTTTTTCAGTAGCTGTTCGACTGACAGATAATAAATTATATAAATCCATTGGTGCTTCTTCTTCTCTTCGTGCTGTTGATTGTCTTGTACTAAAAAGAAAACATCATTCGACATTTAACTGATTCTTTTATATACTACACGATGTTTCAAAAGTCACTAAGAAAGAATTAGAATATTTGCACTACATTTTCATCAAATCAGTTCATTCTTTTTGGGAAAGGAGGTCACATCAAAGTGCTGTTTGTTATCGATAAAATAAAAATGGCTTACAATTTGAAGTTGAGGATCAAACCAGTACT